TGTTGGGGTGGGGCTGCACTGATCATCCCTGTGGGTCCCTTCCAGCTCAGGACATTCTGTAATTAATTCCTAATGAACTCTCTGATGTCTGTGCTAACTAACCCTCATGGAGTGGAAGGGGGGTCAGGAAGACGTGGTTGGAAGTCTTTAAACCCCACTGAGGTTTGGTGGAGGACTCTGGCAGGAAAACCAGACTGTGCTGAGCCCTGGGGAGCTGTGAATTCCCAGAGTCTGGCACAGGCAGGAGCCTCCTGGGCTTCACTCCTCAGCCTCTGTGCAGATGTTCAGGGAGGGATTTTTGCTGCTTGTCCTTGACCGATAGGGAAGTAACTTAATTCTTTCCTGCCCCCACCTCTGTCTAGTAACAACCCTGCAAGGCCTGGAATAACTCTGCTTATCTCTCAGGCTCTGGGGCTAAAAAGGGCCTTTGAGCTAATCTGGTGCTGCTAAGAATAGCTCTGTGTTCTCTTTTGGTGCAGGTGCCAAGCAGAGAAATTGATAAAGCAGAGGGAAAGTTTTGGACTCACTGGAACAGAGAAACCAAACAGGTAACTGAGGTTTTGTGATGTTTGTCCTTAAGGAGAGCAGAGCAGCTTGAGAGAGTGACACCAGTTCTGTCCTGCTGTTGAAATCTCCATTCTCTACATGCACCTGAGCACTGAGAGCTGACAGGGACCCTCCTGTGGGGGATCTCAGAGAGGATTCAGTTTCTGGCCACAGCAGGATGGGGCATAAATACCCAGAGAAAAGGAGGAAGGGAGGTTCAGGGGAAACAGGAGGCTCCCTGGCAGGAGGGTGCAGCCAGAGGGGGTCAGGCTCTGCTCCCAGGGAACAGGAGAGACCAGAGGGAGTGACTTGAAACTGTGCCAGTGGAGGTTTAGGTTGGAAATTGGGAAAATTCCTTCACTGGAACATTGTCAGGCATTGGGACAGACTGCCCAGGGCAGGGGTGAAGTTACCTCCTCTGAAAGTGTTGAAAAACACGTGGATGTGGCATTTGTGGTCACAAATGGTTTAGTGGTGAACTGGGCTGATGGCTGGACTGGTTGATCTCAGGGTTAGGGTTAGGTTTGGCTTTTCCCAGCCATGATAAATGTGCAGCACTGTGTCCTCTCGCTGGCTCTGTGCCCTGTGTTCCCTGCACACACCTGCCTGAGGGAGCCTGGGGGGCTCCCACCCCTCACAGAAACCTCAGAGTCCAGGAGTTAAAATCTGGGGCAAGACTGGCACCAGGGACAGATGCTGCCAGGGCTGGGACAGGAGGGTGACAGGAGGAGCCTGAGCTGTGCTCTGGGGCAGAGAGCAGCTCCTGGGTGCTGGCAGAGCTGTCCCCAGGCTGCTGGGCACTGCCCAGGCTGCCCAGGGAATGGTGCCAAGGCTGCCAGAGCTGCAGGAGCTCCCAGGGGTGCTCAGGGTGGGGTTTGAGGTGGCTGTGCAGGGACTGATGATCCCTGAGGGTCCCTCCCAGCTCAGGGCACTCCAGCATTCTGTCAATCCCTGATTCATTAACTGTTCCCTTTTCTCTCTCATTCCCAGTTCTTCCTTCAGTTCCACTTCAAGATGGAGAAGCCCCCGG